AGAGCCATTACATAGAAAGAGGCACAAGTGAGAATTGCCCATTGTGTGAAGCATGCACTTATCCTTGGCAAGGAAGCAAACATTTCTGCCTCTCAAATTAGGTATATCAAAAAGCACACCATAAAGTACTGACCCTGGAAGTCTCTGCTACTTTGGGCTTCCCTGAGTTCTTTCCACTGGGACCCAGAGCCACTTGTGGGAGCCAGATACATATTCAGAACAAGTCAGTCCTGCAGCAAAAGCACAGACAAAATTCTCTTTCTGCAAATCCCACTGAAAGAAAAAAAGATCCAAAGAATAATCAAGAGTTTCTTGTTCAGAAACCCCAGCTGTTTCAGCAGTCAGGTCCTGTGTCAAAAGAAACTATTCTCAGTTTATTTGGGGGGCAATACTTGTACTTGCTGCTCTAGAAATCAGACACATTTCTCTCACCCTCCTTCCTGCTTCTGCAACGAGACACAGAGGAACCTCTAAGTTTTTTTGCAAGTCAAACCTCTCTGTGTTTGAAGTTTTGAGCAACAAGACCACCTTCTTGAGCTATATTAAAATTAAACTCTGCTATTTAATATGAAAGAACAGCACCTGGTAAACCAAGCTGCTTCACCGAAATGACCATGAAATAAATGTGTTTACAATGAAATAAATGTGTTTACAATGAAATAAATGTGTTTAAGTCCTCAACATCCAACATGCCAACAGAGACAAAGTCCATGGTGGAAAAACAGGTCCCTCTTGGAGCTTTATTAGTTCCACTTTACTAGTGACATTTAAATCATTGTAAAGACCCAAACCAGACTGTCAAGCCACTTATCTGTAACCCTACTCAGGGTACCAGCACCAGACCATTATTTAATTATATATTATAAATATTATATATTTAATATATAATTCCAACCCTCAGCCATATCACTATATCTGTGTCTGAGCATCTCTTGCTCCCTGGCAGCTCCCAGCCCCAGCCCGTGGTGCCCCAGGACCATTCCCTGGAGCTGTGCTCTGGCCCAGGGGGTGCCAGCAGCTGCCCTGAGCACTTGGCTGTCACCAGGGCCGGGTGACAAGGCCATGGATCCGAACTGCCTCAGCCAGCACTGCCAAGGAAAGGTTTGTCAGCCTTCAGAGGCAAACCCAAGGCAGTGCAGTGCTGCTTGCTGCCACTCTGAGGGTGTTTGCAGGGAGAGCAGACTGTCAATATCCCATTTACTGCACAGCTCAGAGAGGTGGGGCTGTTTGTTTGCTTTAGCGTGACAAACCACGCTCCCCCTGCCACACCAGGAGCCTGAGCTTCCCTGGGTGCCAGCCAGAGGGGCTCAGGTCCTCCCTGTGCAGCCCCACAGGCTCCTGTCCCTGTGCTGTGGTGTCACACCTGCCTGTGGCAGCTGCAGTGCCACCCCTCCTGTCCCCAGCCCTGGCACTGCTTCTGCTCCTGTCCTCTCCTGTGTCCCCGTCATTGCCCTGGCTGCTCTGCCATTTCTCTGAGCTTGCCCTTTCCCACACACCTGCCCACTGCCATCTGCAGTTTCCAGTCCCTGCTCCTGTGTTTGGAGGGAATCAGCCCCAAATGTTGAGCATTTTGCTGTAGCCAGGTATTCTCTGCAGGGATACTTACAGCTTCTGCTCTTAGTGCCTTCCAGAAATGTTTCTTTAATAACACACATAAATATTAAAGGAAGAGAAGGAAAATTGGGAGGAAGAGAAGGAGGGTTTTGTTATTTTTTTCTGACCCAATTTCCATCCTTCACTTCAATTAGGTTCTCAGAGACAGATGAACTTCTGCATCCCTTTTCCCTCCGATACCTTCTGCACAACTCCATATGGATCTTCAAAAATCCTGTCTTGCTCAACCTTCCCTCCCTGCTCTCTGTCTGCATGAGTGCCCTATTTCTATTCCTTATTTCTTGGTAATTGTATTCAAACACTCTCTTTGTTCTTTGTTTGCTAACCTGCATTTTTTTTTCCTCTAGTCAGCTTATCTCTTTTTTAGTCCTTTTGATTAAAGTTCTCAATTCATTTAGTATCTTTCTGTTTCTCCCCAGTCCTTCTAAAGTGAAACTACAAAGCGCTGCAGGGAATGCTTGTATTTACCTCCCAATTCTCTTAGCCAGCCTTCCAGGCTGACTGGAGACCTGCATTCTACCACATCTTAGAAACTTCCCAAACCTACGCTGAGCCATTTCACTCTTCCCATCCTTCTCCAGCCACAGCAGTAAGTTCACCCTCTCCTCTCACCACAGCCTCTTAGAGCAGTGATTTGCTGCTGCAGTCCTTCCCTGGTGAGCACATGAACTGAAAACCCTGCACGGTTTGGAGGGAGGGCCCCTGCTGTGGCAGCAGAGGGGGGCAGCCCTGGGGAGGTGACAGGCAGCCACACATTGCTTCTTGTGCTGCACACACCCAGCCAGTTCCCATCCAGCCTCTGTCTGAGGCAGGAAGGAAATGCAGGAGTGTTCAGCTGGAATTCTCCTTGGATTTGTCTTGTGTTTTTAAAGAAAATCTAGGGAAACAGCAAAGAGGTGTGCATCACAGCTTGGCTTAATTTGGGCTTTCATTGTTATTGGGAAATAGCATTTTCTCTCTTCCAAGGCAACATCCTGTTTTGCAGCCTAGATGTGCTCCTACTCACCACATCAATACCAGTGAGTTCATCTTTCCATTTTCACCCAAGTTGCTTAGTAACAGAAGATGAGGGGAAGCGTGTCCAGACTGCATTGCAATGTCTGATCTTCAGGTTCATTGGAAAAGATGGACTAATGGACCGCCAATGTGAAAATGCTGCTCACATTTGAATCACTGGATCCATCTGATATTCCTCAAGGAGCTTTTAGAAGAGTATTTCTGTCATATTTCTTTTCAACACTTATATTTTTATGTGCATGCCCTTTGACTATGCCACATCTAAGAAATAGTCAAGCATTCTCTTATTTTATTTTCTTCACAATGCACTCTGGCTGCTTTGGTGAATACACAGGACGAGAGTTTCAGTATTTTGGGCAGGCACACTTTGAATCATTTTATAGCATCATTTTGAAAGTGAACTTACAGTCCATTAAAAGGACAGGCAATCTCAGGGCTTCTTAATAGTGTGAAGCTGAGCTTAATAAAGATACAGCCTCATGGATGAATTCCTGCACTGCTATGATCCTGAGAATGAGCTGCACTCCCCCAGTGACTCTATTACATCGTTCTCAAGCACTTCTGCATTAAGCAATTGTGCAGGTGGGATTTTCCAGTCTTCAGCTCTGGTCTAACTCTACAGTTCCTGAAGGCAAACAGCAAGAGCACAGTGCTCCCAAAATCTACAAAAAGATTTTAACTTATGTTTCAATACATTTCCCTATTAAAAACCCCCAAAACTAACCAAAACTCAAACCATAAACACACACACACACAAAATCTCAAACAAAAGCCAACAAATAAGGAAAGGCCATGAGAAATCATCCCTGGTCACCAGTCTTCAGACCTGATTTAGGATAGAGTCAGCTTAGAATCAGCAATCAAGGATAAATTTTATGTCCATGTCCTTCCCTTTGATCTTGCACTAAGGAAAGAATTTCTCCTCTAATTTCTATCTTTACATGAATTTATTCCCTACAGAAACAGCTCTTTTTCCAGAATTCTGGCTGCCTGCATCCAAAGCCAACAGCAGCAGCCATCAGAGCCACGAGCCTATGGAGGAGCTGCTTCTTTTAATCCTGCCAGGTCCAGGGAAAAGAGGGAACAAAGCCCAGGAGTGTTGTGCTGGATTTGAGTGTAATAAAGTTAATTTCTTCAGAGCAGCCATTATGGGGCTGTGCTGGGCTTTGTGCTGGCAGTGCTGGGAACTCAGGGGTGGCTTTGCTGTCCCTGGGCAGTGCTCACACACAGCCAAGGCCTTTAGTGCTGCCCAGGGAGGGGACACAGCCAGCACAGCTGGGACAGGGACAGCCCAGAGCGTGCGGCCTCGTGGCCAGCACAGAGAGATGGGCCACAGGAAGGAAGAGTGGGGTGGTTTGGAATGATGGAGGCATCATTCACCAAGGGACTGCTGCAGGATGGAGCCCTGCTCTCCAACTCTGCCCTGCAGGGAAAGGAGATGCAGGAAAAGGAGATGCAGGTAAGGCAGGTGAAGGTAAAGGAGCTGCAGGTAAAGGAGATACAAGGAAAAGGAGATGCAGGGAAAGGAGATGCAGGAAAAGGAGATGCAGGGAAAGGAGATGCAGGAAAAGGAGATGCAGGGAAAGGAGATGCAGGGAAAGGAGATGAAGGAAAAGGAGATGCAGGAAAAGGAGATGCAGGTAAGGCAGGTGAAGGTAAAGGAGCTGCAGGTAAAGGAGCTGAAGGTAAAGGAGATGCAGGGAAAGGAGATGCAGGAAAAGGAGATGCAGGTAAGGCAGGTGAAGGTAAAGGAAATGCAGGGAAAGGAGATGAAGAAAAAGCAGCTACAGGTAAGGCAGGTGCAGGTAAAGCTGGTACAGGTAAAGCAGGTACAGGTACAGGTAAAGCTGGTACAGGTGCAGGTAAAGCTGGTACAGGTAAAGCAGGTACAGGTGCAGGTAAAGCTGGTACAGGTAAAGCAGGTACAGGTAAAGCAGGTACAGGTAGAGCAGGTGCAGGTAAAGCAGTTACAGGTGCAGGTAAAGCAGGTACAGGTAGAGCAGGTGCAGGTAAAGCAGGTACAGGTAAAGCAGGTACAGGTAAAGCAGGTACAGGTACAGGTAAAGCAGGTACAGGTAAAGCAGGTACAGGTACAGGTAAAGCAGGTGCAGGTAAAGCTGGTACAGGTACAGGTAAAGCAGGTACAGGTACAGGTAAAGCAGGTGCAGGTAAAGCTGGTACAGGTGCAGGTAAAGCAGGTACAGGTAGAGCAGGTGCAGGTAAAGCAGGTGCAGGTAAAGCAGGTACAGGTAGAGCAGGTGCAGGTAAAGCAGGTGCAGGTAAAGCTGGTACAGGTGCAGGTAAAGCTGGTACAGGTAAAGCAGGTACAGGTAAAGCAGGTACAGGTAGAGCAGGTGCAGGTAAAGCAGTTACAGGTGCAGGTAAAGCAGGTACAGGTAAAGCAGGTACAGGTACAGGTAAAGCAGGTGCAGGTAAAGCTGGTACAGGTGCAGGTAAAGCAGGTACAGGTAGAGCAGGTGCAGGTAAAGCAGGTGCAGGTAAAGCAGGTACAGGTGCAGGTAAAGCAGGTACAGGTAGAGCAGGTGCAGGTAAAGCAGGTGCAGGTAAAGCTGGTACAGGTGCAGGTAAAGCAGGTACAGGTACAGGTACAGGTAGAGCAGGTGCAGGTAAAGCTGGTACAGGTAAAGCTGGTACAGGTGCAGGTAAAGCAGGTACAGGTACAGGTAAAGCAGGTACAGGTACAGGTAAAGCAGCTGCAGGTAAAGCTGGTACAAGTGCAGGTAAAGCAGGTACAGGTAAAGCTGGTACAGGTACAGGTAAAGCAGCTGCAGGTAAAGCTGGTACAAGTGCAGGTAAAGCAGGTACAGGTAAAGCTGGTGCAGGTGCAGGTAAAGCAGGTGCAGTCTGGGGCTCCTGGCGTGGCTGCAGGGGTGGCAGTAAAAGGCTCAGCCCACCCTGGGAGCTGCAGACTGGCCTTGCTCTGCAATATTGCTGTGTGAACAACCTCTGCTGGCTCCTCCTGGTCCTGAGCTTGTCATGGAAAGCTTCTCCTGCTCCCCCAGATGAAAGTGGGTGATGGGAATGAATACTGAATATATGCTCGAATGTATGAGATGTGTACCTGGTACAAACACAGCTTTTCATTTATCTGCTAACAGTGAATAATAAGCAGCACTTTTAGAAGATGAGTGCTGGGTTCAGTCTTGGATATATTTTGGTTTTGAAAGGCAGAAATATGTCTGTATATCATTACTGAATACTCGGGGTCTGTGGGAGGCTGCCTCTTGATCATTAGTTTGTTCTTTATTTCTGTGTTTGAATCTTAAGAGAAAATCTGTTGCTGCTCCACAGCACTACTTATTCAACGTCCTCAAATCCCCAAGGCAAAGAGTTTGGTTAGACACAAGCTGGCAGAGTACAGATCATAATTATACTGAAAGGGAACCTTTTTAAAATTCAAGATTAAAAAAAAAAAAAAGGTGATTTCAAATACACAGTTTGACTAAGAACTTAGAAATGGATGGTCAGGATCCTACAGGAACATCTTTAAATACTTAAGGGTGCATTTTGCAAGCCCTTGAATTATGCATTTATCATTGCTCCCAACCTCAGTATTGTAGCAGAAAATAAGCATGATAACAAATTACTCCTATAAATCTCAGCAAACAGTTGGTACTTCTGTTGCATGTTTACCTCTGGAGTTTTCTAAAATTCTTTAGAAACTATAGCCCCTATGTTAGAGAGTGATAATTGTTTTATCTGTGTTGAGAATACAGGACTGGTTTCATTTGATAAATACATCCAAATTTGGCCCTGTGAAGAATTTTTCTGATCTACCAGTGAAACTTAGTCATACCTAAAAATCAAACACCCTTCAGTGCACAGCATCACTGCAGACAGAACAGGAACAGAACATACTGAAAATAGGTGAAAATAAAAGGAACAAAGGTATTAATGGGATACAAAAATAGCTTCAGCCTGTACTTTCTGCTTCACCAAAGAGCCTCAAAGGTTCTGAAATGTCTAAACAGCCACCCTAAGAACAGGAACCTGCCCAGGTGAAGGCAGCTTTGTGGCCCAGGCTGAGAGGAGCAGCTCCTGTGCTGAAGGCAGCTCTGCCTCTTCCTCCTCTGCCATCAGCACCCAGGCACTGCAGGCTCCTCCACACATCCACAAGAGGAATAGAAAGAACTAGACCATGTCCCAGAGGAGGGGAATGAAAGAGAAATAAATAAAATTCTATGGCAAATATTTTCAGCTTTTCTGTGTTTTTCCCCCAGTCTTCTCATTTTTAACAAGGGAGGTTCCCTTCTTGGTTTGTGTGCTTTGTAAATAGCAGCAGCCATTATTTATTAAACATATTTGCCTTTTGTAAGGTTGGCTTTAATTTTTAAAATTCACACTGATATTCTTCTTCAATGGCGTTGTGTGCAGGGGCATATCTGTTTGTATTTATTCAATAGCGGGCTGCTAATTAAATATGTGTTTCATTAAACTTGTTTAAAAAAAAAAAACAAACCAGGGGAAGTTGAGAGGAATGAACACACTGAAGTACAACACCCCTAGGCTCTGAGAAAGCTTCCACGGATGAGTTGTTAGAGTAATGTGGGCAGCAGGAGTGTCAAAAGCATCTCATGTTTTGTGCACAGCTCCGAGTTTAAACAAAACGCGTGTGCTAAAGGTAGCAGGTAAAGTTGACATGTATCTGTCTGCTTGGAATATTCATGCCTGGAATCAAAGCACTTCAGTTACTTTTCCTCTAGCTGCTCCCCTGGCTGGCTTTTTGCCACATGCATTATTTTCTCAGAAGATTCCTTAGCAGAGATGCACAGAGATACCTCAGGCATAAACGAGCAGGAAGGGGTGGCCTCCCGTGCCTGCTGGGTGCTGAGGAGCTGCAGCCTCTGCAAAGCCCCAACCCAGGGCCCTGCCCAGAGCTTCAAACGCCCCTGGACCTGCCCTGTGCCAGGCTGTGGGGCTGTGCTCTGGCACCTTTGGTGTCCTCCTGCCTGTGCAGCATCACCGCCTCTCCCTGCCAAAGCTCTGCCGCCACCACAGCCTGGGAGCAGCTCGGGGCTCACACACGGGGAGCTCCTAAGGACAAGTGGGCTGTGAGTATCTGATCACAGGAATGGGGTGGTTGGGAACACAGCCCAGGGGGGGAACATAGCCCAGGTAGGGAACATAGCCCAGGTAAGGGACACAGTCCCAGGTAGGGAACACAACCCAGGTAAGGAACACAGTCCCAGGTAAGGGACACAGTCCCAGGTAGGGAACACAACCCAGGTAAGGAACACAGTCCCAGGTAAGGGACACAGTCCCAGGTAGGGAATATACCCCAGGTAGGGAACACAGCCCAGGTAAGGGACACAGTCCCAGGTAGGGAACATAGACCAGGTAAGGGACACAGCCCAGGCAGGGAATATACCCCAGGTGGGGAACATGTCCCAGGTAAGGGACACAGCCCAGGCAGGGAACACAGGCCAGGTAAGGAACACAACCCAGGCAGGGAATATACCCCAGGTAGGGAACACATCCCAGGTAGGGAACATATCCCAGGTAAGGGACACAGCCCAGGTAAGGGACACAGCCCAGGTAAGGGACATGTCCCTGGTAAGGAATATGTCCCTGGTAGGGAACACATCCCAGGCAGGGAACATGTCCCAGGTAAGCGACACAGCCCAGGTAAAGGAACAGATCCCAGGCAGGGAACACATCCCAGGTAAGGGACACAGCCAAGGCAGGGAACAGATCCTGGGTAAGGAAAACATCTCACATAAGGAACACATCCCAGATAAGGGACACAGCCCAGGTAAGGGACACAGCCCAGGTAAGGGAACAGATCCCAGGTAAGGGACACAGCCCAGGTAAGGAACCCATCAGGGAAGGGAACTCATCCCAGGTAGGGAACATATCCCAGGAAAGGAACACAGCCCACGTGAGGAACATCTCCCAGGAAAGGAACACATCCCAGGATGGTAAGGGACAGCTCCAAAAAGGCTCCTTTTTTAATCCCTTGGGAGAAGAAGCCTGTGCCTGGCACAGAGAGAATCACATCAGGCTGGAGCACAGAGCTCCAACACAAACTCAGCATATCAGAGATCTGCAGGAACATCACAGCAGCCTGTAGGTGTTGCACACAGAATGAAAGGGTGTTTCAGGGGAAATGGCCACTTTATGCAAAACAAAAGGGTAGGCAGATGAGAAGTTTTTTTCTGAAGGAACATTCATTATTCATTTGCCGTGACTACTCACGGACGGATTTGATGATAGTGGACACGGAGGGAACGACCTGGGTGCCAGATGAAGTGAAACTGTACTAGCTATAAAAGTGTGCTTGTTAGAAGGAATAATGACAGCTTCAAGAAAACAGAAATAAAAGGTAAGTTTTAATAAAAGGTGTAGGGCATGAAGTGAACCTGTTACAAAGGATTTCAAAAAGCCAATTTTAACAGTCTCAGCAAATGTGAAGAAGGAAGTTGCAAGGATACTGTGCATGATAATATGTACCAGAGAGCAAGGAGTGATAAACAGAAGAAAGATCAAGAGTGTGCAGAACAGACAGAGTGAGGAATGGCACAGAACAAAAGGTTTGGAGATAAACTGCTAAGGAGCAGATGCAGAACACAAAGTGCAGGAATGACACTCGGCTCCACTGTCACAGCTGCACTGGCAGATGGAAAAATACAAATAAGATATAAAACAATGCTCCAAGATCCATAGGTGTCTGTTCCGTGGTTACAATGGTCCTAAATGCACTGGTTTACTTTTCAAAAAGGATCAGTATTTAATCTCCAAGTATTTAAGTGCAATATGTTCTGTGAGCAAGCAAGTGCTTCTCACACATGAATTTGCTCTGCTCTGCCATCTACTTCTGACTTGCCCTCAAGGATCTGGACAGCAGGAGGATCCAGAAGAAAAACTGTGTGATAAAAGTTACAGATGATCACACAAACAAGGGATGGCCTGGTCTTTATCTGTAGCAAACTGATCTCTACATGCAGCAGTTGGCTGAGACAAAAAAACCAACAAAATTGAATTCAAATTTAGGCACATTTAACAACATATGGAGTGTTTTCATTCAACTGGAAGATTAAAATTTTATTATTATTTCATCAAATTTTAACTATCATCTGGAAGAAGTTTTCATTGTTTCCTTAGGATATTTAATTCTTTTACAGTAAAATATTAATGTTCAATCATGTATATTTTCCTTCTGTTCCTCATTCTCTCCAGTTTGTGTCCATTTAAATGCTAAGCCAACAAAATTAAATAATTTCTTCCTCAGTGTTCAAAGACCATTTGTATGAAGAAATAAAATTTATTTACCACTGCATCTTTATTATACATGAATAGACTTAAACAGAAACCTTTCTCAAAAATCTTATCATTTACTGCAAACAGGGAAAAAGAAAAAAAGGCAGTTTGATAATGGAGACCAGTTTAAGTGACACTATTTGGGCTATCGATCAGGGAAAAGTAAAAGAGTGCTTAAGACTTGCTGTGAAATCCTGGAGTCAATTGAGAGTCTTTACTGATTCCTGTGGACCTGATTTCCTAGGCAGGATTCCTGGCAGAACTTAATGAAAACACAGAAGTTACTCAGCAGACAAGAAAGAAAGATCGTTCCAGATATGAACTAATTATCTCAGACAGTCCAGATAAGGAAATAAAGGTCATATTAGGAAGAGGGATGAGTGGATCCAGTGAAATAGCACAACAAAAGGTTGTAGGAACAAGAAGACAATTTCCAGTGATGAAGAGCCCTGAGGAATCTGTGGAGGGAGCAGGAGCAAAAGGACTGAACTGGAAGTGAGACAATGTCTGCACATCTGCAGGGCAGCAAAGGAGACTGAGGCTGGAGGAGCAGAATTAACACAGAGATTCCAGGGGAGATAAGCACAGAGCAGAGCAAAGGAAAACAAGCCATTCCAAATGTCAATGTTAACATATTTACAAGGCAGACAGTGAGGAGTGACTGGATCAACAGCGTGGAGATAAAGGCAGAGGAAGTGGGTGATAGGATCAGCTATAAAGATGGCAGCATCCAGATAGTGACAAAATAGCAGCCACGATTTCAAAGGGATAGTTCAAGAACCTGCATGACAGGCCAGGAAAAGAGATGGATATTTAGGATTTTTCTGCCTATGAGTATTGACTGTGTCAGTCATGCCTGTCAGAGGAGTCAGGAGAGGGCCAGAGGCAGGATAATTTCACTGCAAGCACCAGGAACTGTCTCTCATTACCATCCCAGCACAAGCCCCCACACCCCAGCTGTGAGGGTTTACCAATTAAGAGCTGAACTGTCTGCTTAAGACACTGAAGAAATGGTTTCTTTGGGTATTTTTGGGTTCTATTTGGCTGTGCTGGAGACAGACTTAACACTGAGAGGGGTATTAATTCATACATAAAGTAACTGCTCATAGTGATAGGAGCTGTCCAGCAGTCAATGTAAATTAATATTCTGCAGTTCTTACATAACCGTGGATGGACAGTTTGGGGAACTCTCTCAACCACTGACACAAACAGCTAAAATCAATCAGAGCCACCTCCAGCACTATCCAGAATGTGCCAATGAATACTTGGATGTAAAATCAATACCTGAAGCTTTGAGCCACCTAAACCATGGAGATGCTGGCACATATCTGGAACCACCCATGAGGGCACAGACACTTCACCCAGCTGAC